AGCCTGAGTTTTCTTCAATGTTTCTGTCTCTTTTGTGAAGTCATTCAGAGGTTTATCCCTATCTTCTTTGAGTTCTTTGATTTGTTTGTTCGTGTGTTCTTTAAATTTGTTGAATTCCTTGACCATGTTTATGATTCTTCTTTTAAATTTAGTGTCCTGGGTTGTCTCTAGGGGGTTCTCCTTGTAGAATTCTTCTACAGGACTGGTGGGCTTTGCTGGGGACATAGTGTTTTGGCTTTCCATTTTATTATTCTTTCATTGTGATTTTGGCATGTGAATTTCTTTTGTTGTTTATGACTCTGATATGAGAATTAAGTTGAAGTCTGCTTCTGTTTGTATTATTGGGGTGCCTAAGTCCTTTCCTTATTGGTTATGTAAGGCTGTTTGGTACAGGTTTCAGGTTCTCTTAGGTTTTATTTTGGAGGGAACTGATGGCTTCAGATCAGCTATCCAGGAGCACCCACAGAAGTCTAAGTCGGGTTCCAGTCAGGTACACTCAGGCTTCTTCTAAGGTTTGGACCCCTATTGGCAGAAACTCAGAGAAAAATTGGGAAATTCCCTAAGGGGGGGAAGGTGATTTGGGGACTCTCGGTTGGTCTGCTGTGTTCTTAGCCCCTATGCCAGAGGGAGACCAGAACCTGGCACTCTCTGGTGGTCTGCTGAGATCACAGCTGCTATACCAATGGAGGTCAGAGCCCACCCTCTCAAGGTTGTCTGCTATGATCTCAGCCTTAGCCTACCAAAGCCAGGTCTGCCCTGCGGCCTTGAGAGGGGCCTCATGAAATCCCAGGTAGGGGGATGGGCATGGCGCAATTAGTGGAAGCTCACCACCATGTGGAAGCAGGATCCGGGAGCTCTCATCTCAGGCAGTCCCCTGCTTTCTCAGCCCCTATGCCTGAGGGAGGCCAGAATCCAGCACTCTCTGGCGGTGTGCTGAGATCATAGCCACTACACCAATGGAGGTCAGAGCCCACCCTCATAATGTAAATTTTTACTATGTGCAAAATACGGATCCTTAAATTTACAAGTATCCCAGCCACCACCATCAAAGAAGCTTCTTTTTCAAGAGACAGAGATTATTGCAGTTTCACAATTGGTCACAAACAGAGATTGTCTGTGAATTGCCCAAGCCTAAGATGTTACCTGTACACCTAAGGCTCATGGAACATAGAACAAAGGATGAAGAGACACTGATGCATCTCTTAACTCTCATCAATGAAGCTCCCTCATCAACAGAGGGCCAGGCACACAAAAGGCCACAAATGGCCAAAACATAGAGAATAGAGTCTGCAGAGTGTGGGTCCCTGGACAGGACTCCTGTATTAAAATCCACCCACCCAGAGTTCAGGGACCATTGTGGAAGAGGGGGCAGAAAGATTTTAAGAGCCAGGGAGGAGGTGCATGACCATAGGGAAATAGAGTCCTACAAGCTCCTGGGACCCTCCTCGTATGAACCTACAGCAATGGCGTCATCATGCACAGGAACCATGCAAACTCAACAGACAAAAGTCCAGCACAGAACTGTGGAAACGGACAGCAGGTCCTAACCTTAGTCAAAGAATTATTGGCAGCTGATTACTGCTGGATGAGGAAGAGCTGATCTTCTTAAAGGGAGGGACTCTAGATCGGCCAACTAGACCTCAGTGGATGAGCTTGCACTGAGGGATGTTTGAGGACACTAACTTGATATGATAGCCCTATGACAGAAAGCATGAATTCCAGTGGAGGAGGAACTAGGGGAGTGGGCTAATGGGGAAGGGGGTAAAGATTATTAAAATGTTCTGTACGAGGTGGGCATGGTTACTCACACCTTTAATCCCAGCACTGGGGAGGCAGAGGCAGGCAGATCTCTGTGAGTTCAAGGCCAGCCTGGTCTACATAGTGAGTTCCAGGACATCTGGGGCTACAGGGAGACCCTGTCTCAAAAAGACCAAAAAAAAAAAAAAGTTTTGTATAAAATGCAGAAAATTCAATAAAAAGCTAAAAAAACAAAAACAATTTGGATGCTACCATCTGTCTCCCAATGTCTGAAGACGACTACAAAAAGCTCTTCTAATGAGAAAATATTTTTTTTTAACCAGGCACAGAAAAGAGCGGTCAGAAAAGAAGCAGAAAAGCAAAAGAAAGAGGAGATCAAAGCTTTGCAAGGGCAGCTGGCGGCGCTGAAGGAGATGCAGGCTGCAGTCCAGGTGGGGAGGGTGGCTTCTGTCCCCAAGTGTGCCATCACCTGGCGCCTGTGGGCAAATAAGGCATATACTGGTCCTTGGAGCCCCATGCCACTGGGCTTTCGACCCATGTCAGCCTCTGCTGCCACTGGGGGCCTTGGAGGGAGCCTCTCTGGGTGTGGAGGAAGTCAGCCTCCCTGCTTCCTGCCGAGGCCTGCATCTGAGGGTCTGACTTGAATGTGTGCAAGGACGTTTGTTATCACCCTCGCTGCCTCCTCTGAGGTCTGTGTGGGCAGCACCTGTGGTGGGAACAGGTTTTGCCTGCATGAAGGTGTATCCTTCCTACGTGCCCTGCTCCTGGTTCTGTCATAATTCCAGTTAACTGTGCGATTAAGTTCCTGCGCTTGAAAAAGTTTCTCTTTAAAAGAAAGGGGGTTCTGGTGAGACGGCTCAGGGTAAAGGTGCTTGCCTGCATGCCGCACCACTTGGGTTCAATCCCAAGGACCCACATGTAGGAGAGAACTCAGCCCTCGGAGTGTTCCTCTGACTCCACACGTGCCGTGCCTCCACTGCCCCACACACACACACTCACATACACACTACAAATAAATGTAATGGAAACACTTTAGGGAGGGGTTGAGGAGGTCCACAGTCAGTCACAGGTGCAAAGCTCAGTCTTGCCAGGCCTTGGGCAAGACCTTGCCTACAAGCTGGTACCTGTGTCCGGAGCTGCTGTGTGTGGGTGTGAGCCTCACACTGCTCTACACAGTGGAAAAGAGCAGAAAGTAGATAAGCCTGGGACCGAGCAGAAAACATGTCTACAAACACGTCTGTCAAGAGGAGCAGAAGGTGGCAGCGGTTCACCACAGGCTGTGAGGAGAGGTTAGCGGAGAAGGTGCGAGGGCAGGGCCGCCTCCTGTCCCAGCATCTACAAGGTGTTCTTACACCTCTGTATTGTGAGCTGCAGGCAGACCCTGCTAAGTACTTTTCCTACTACTTTACAAATGAGAGACAAGTGTGGCAAACTGGAGGGCCCACTTGGTCAGGAGCTAGCTAGGACGAGGCTAGACATCTGTTGTTCCCACTCCAGCACAGAGCCAGCAGCAGTTAAGTCCTGCTGTGGTACCTGTGCTGACAAGGGCATCCATCTGGGCAGTATGTATCCTCACACACCCTTGCTGGTGGGGGTGATGGTCACCTGTGGAGGAGAGTGGTAGCTTTAACTAAAGCATGTCTGTAGAATGGCATGGAGCCAAGGCTTTACAAGAGAACACGAGGAAATGCGGCTTTTTCTTGGTTTGTTTTGGTTTTTTTGATGAAGTCTCTGATCTATAGCTAAGGCTGACCTAGAACTCACTATGTAGCCCAGGTTGGCCTCAGGCTAGGATTACATGTGTGAAACACTAGGCTTGGCTTGGGAGGAATGTTGGTAACTTGTGCATATTTCTTTTGAGCTGGGTAGCATATGTGTATAATCGGGAAGCCAAGGCCAAAGGATCACAACTTTGAGGCTAGCCTGGGTGAGACCCTGTCTAAAAAGAGAGAGAGAGACAGATGGACAGAGACAGAGTTCTGTTATTCTCTAATAGGAATTCTAAGTCTAGATGTTTGTTTTGAGGATGGTGTCGCCTAGGTGAACTGCAGCTCGCCCAGCCTCAGCTCTATCCCTGACCTTTGATTTTTGTGTCTTAGGAAGAGGAAAGCGATGCTGTGAAGCCCAGGAATGAAGGTGAGTAAACGTGCAGAGACCACCCCCTACACAGGGTGGCCCCGTGTGGTCAGTGCAGGGGGGAGGGATAGCGGGACCCTGTCTCTCCAGGGTCTGCAGGTGTAGCTCCGCGGTAGAGCACTTGCCTGGTGTGCACAAGGCCCCAGGTTTGATCCCTAGCATGGGAAGATCCAGAAAGGAGCCACTTCCGCACTCTGTGCTCCTAATTATGTGCTGTGTGTTGGAACCTTGTGGCTGGATGTATAATAAAAATCAAGTTTTTAAAAATAATATTCACACAAACATTCACTGAAGCTTGAAGCATTTCAACAAAGTTATTTAAACTGTGCTACTTCAACTCATCAGACCCTCAAGGAAGGAAAGCAACCCCACCCGATGTTCCAGAAATTCCAGATAACCATTATTTGGATAAGTAAGTAACAGTCTGGTCCATTATGTGGGGTCCGTTAGGGGCTGTGTAGAAACCCTGGACATGAATTTCCCCTCCCTGTGTCACTGTGATCGCTTAGTCACTGGACTCTTCCCCTTAATGTCAACGCCTGGAAAGCATTGGCCCTGCGTCAGGCCTGACTGCTGGCCCTGTCTCTGACCTGTTTAAAGTCACACAGCAGTGAAATGCTTGGCACCATCAGTGGCCAGGACAAATCTGTGAGGAACGTAGAGAGCTGTCCCTCTTGTCGTCTGTGGCTAAACCACCCATCTATGTGTTTAATTGTGCCAAGGTTCAATCTTAGAGGGGCCCTAAGCTCTTCACCCACATCACCTACTTGGTGAGGACCCTTTCTTCTGACACTGCAGGGACCCCTGAGCCCTGCCGCCCTCCAGAGCTACAGCCTGTCCTCAGAGCAGACCCAGGCAACTCAGGATAGGAGGGGCTGGGGCAAATCGGGAGTTTTCTCATGAAGTAGGAGTTGGATTGCCAGGGGAACCGGAGCCTGGCCTGGCCTTCACTTCAGATTTTCCATTTCATTGTAGTCTCTGCATTTTCTGTGGGGAGAGGAGCGAGTCTTTCACAGAAGAGGGCCTGGATCTCCACTACTGGAAGCACTGCCTCATGCTGATGAGATGTGACCACTGCAGGCAGGTCAGGTACTGGGCACGGACCATGGCCACTCACAGGTTACCACTGCAGCAGGCTGGGCGCTGGGCACAGACCATACAGGGTTTGTGTAGGGTTGGGTGAAGCTGGTTCACAGAAGTCATCTGCAGGGCTAATTCCAAGAAGTTGTCTGTAGGACGTTGAGCTTCCCCTGTCTGTCTCTTGTCTGACTCAGCAGACTCTGGGACATACGTCACGTGGTGGACATGGTATTTTTTTCACTCAGGTAAGACTCAAAGAAAGTAGTGTTGAGGTAAGAGAGACACCATTGTTGAGTTAACAGACATATTAAGCTCGTTCCTCTCACACGCCATTGCCACAGACACTTGCTCTCAGGAACTGGATGGGTGATGAGTCTCTGAAGTAATGGGTACAGCAAAGGCCCATCCGAGGCCCACAGCGACAGTAGTCTAGAGCATAAACACCGTGTTCGGGGCAGTTTGGCATATCACAGACATGCCTGCTTGAGAACCATGGCAGCAGCCTCCCACTGGGTGTCTGGGCTGCAGCTTCTGGTCTTGGGCCTGGCTTATATGAGTTCCCACCATGTCCTATCAGAAGGCAGTTGGCTGTGCCCATGGGGATTCTGCCAGGGCTGCGCCAGCAGGTCCAACATGTTGGTAGTGCAGCAAGCACGGCTCATGCCACGCAGGACCGTAAGTGACAGTTCTCCCCCAGTAGCCTGCGCAGCACCTCCTGGCACTGTTAAAGCCAGCCAGTAGGAAGGGTCCTCAGGATTTCTCCCTGTCTTTCTCCTGGAGCCGGAGCTCTAACTAACAACAAGGGCCGACCACCTACTTCTGGCATGCAGCCCACAGCCCATATGGTATGGACCACCTAAGGGGCCTCCGTAGTCAACACACTGTAGGGAAGTAGCCCACTCCTGGCCCTGAGGTTTTCATTCAACAGTCTTACGGTTTCTGGAAGTGCCACTTAAACCTGATTAAGTGCTTTAAATCCTTCCTGCATCTAGAGCTGTAGACACTAGGTTAGCAGGAGAGAACGGAACCTTTTTCACAGAGTAGGCAGGTTTCTGATGGCCCACCACCATCCCTTCCTGGTCTTGTGACTCAGCAGCTAAAGTGACAGCAAGCAGCAAAAGCCATTACAAGGTTCGATGCACATGAAAAGACCCCACGGCTTCTATCGGTTGTTCATTAAAGAACAGCGCTGGGCGCAGCAGCCTGGATGGGGAGCACGTCCTCACTCGGCCCCTGCAGCCCACAGGCATTTCCCGTAAGCTGTCCAGCTTCCTCAGTGGCCTCGGCTGGCTGGTCAAAGGCTTTTGTGCTAGGAGGATAGTTTCTGCCTTTCAAGGCTGTTCACCCAGTCATTCAGACTGCCTTTACCATCCTACATGTAGATGAAACTATCCAGCACTAGTATGCGGTGTGTCCCAGAGGTACATCCACACCAGTGTACTGTCTTGCAGAGAGAAAATGTACACAGTACGCTCAGGGGAGTGAGGCTTAATTGCCCACACCTAGGATACACCTGACCCTTCTCAGTGTACCTTGCTGTCCCCATAACCATCCACTGCTGCCCAGTGCCCCCAGTACTCTTGGCAGGCTGTGGATTAGGATCCACTGAAGCTCCAGCATCCAGCAGAACCAAGTATTCTCCATATTTGAAGAGACCCAGAAATGTGCAGTATCACAGGGTCATCCTGCATGGCTCTCACCTGCTAGCAACCTTGGCCGCCCATTAGGGAAGAAACTGGGTGGTTCCCATCCCTTGAGCTGCCAGTGGGCACAGTGAGGATTGCCAGCACCACCTGAGGCTCCTGGGCGTGGCATCGGCCTCTTTCCAGCAAGGTGGAAATACACCGCCACTGCCAGCTTAGAGCCCTGTCCTGTGCTGCTATTTCAAGGGGTGGCTGTGTTCCCTGACTCGTATTTTCAGGACTGCCTGTAAGAAGGCCTGTAAGAAGGCATGCTATCCTGTAGCACATGGAGGACAGGTGGATTGGGACTGCTTCTCTAGACAGCTCAGCCTTAGGTGGCTGGGCCTCAGCTGCACGTGGGCCTTGTTACCCGGGACGGGCAGTGTGGCTGCTTCAACAAGGCTTCTGGGGTCTGTCATGCCCATATTCAGGCTCCCTTTGCTGTACGACTCTTCCTGGAGAGATGTAAAGACGTACTTCTTCACCCCAGACAGGGCACCAGTAGGCCCAAGAAAGGATTTAACCCAAGTCCAGCATGGTGAACCATTCATAAAAGCTGTATCAATGCAGTCCCATCCTGAAGTGGCGTTCCACTTCCCAGGTACTCTAGGCCCCCTCAAGATCACATGCAACCGAGGGTCAGGGTCAGGAATGGTGGCTGGAGTCTCAGATGAGGTTCAGGTCCATTCCCTCTCCGTTCTATGAGGGCACATAAGAGCTCCGTCTATTACCAGATGCACTAGGCTGCCACCATGTTATGCTATGTATTTTATTGTCATGGCTAAGGGCCAGGATTAGATCAGCGCAGCAATCTACTGTGTCGTGGCTGTGGTCATGTTGATCACATAGAGTTGAAGTGACCACAGCACAGCACTGAGTGCAGGTCTAGCCATGGGCCAGTTGAACTTGCTGGTGCCCCTGAGCTAGTGCCTGGGGCCCTGGAGAGTCCTGAGCAGCTTAAGCTCACAGCAGTGAGAGGGAGCCTTTGTGCTGATCATGCAGCCTGTCACCCGTGACTTGAGTGTGTGCCCTGCTGACCATGAGGTGGGCACCCATCCCTTTGTCCACTGGCCATCTTTGGTAGGGCACCTTTCTCTTGCCGTATGCATGTGGATGTGGCTGTCCGTCCATTCACGCGTGAGCCCATCCTCTGCTGCTTTGTCATTGTCTCCACATGGCTCTCAGCCAGCAGCCTTGAACTCTGGGGCTCTTTCCTCCTCCTCTTTTTGTGCTGCTGGTGACCTTTCAGAACCTGACGTTAAAAACGCTGACGTTTTTACCTGTCCTACAATAGGCCTTCCTTTTCAAAGGAGGATGACTAGGTGGAAAATTCTTCGCTTTCCTCTGTTGTGGGACTCTCTGCCTCACAGGCCTTATCCTCTCGGCAGTCACTGCTCAACCTGGCAGCGTAGACTCTGAAAATCCAGGGTGGGCGATTGGCTTCTGGCACCGTGTGGTATCCATGGGGTCTGTGAAAGTTATTCCTGCCAGTGTTAGGGGCAGGAGAATCTTATTTCTTTGCACATTCTTAGAAATACTGGGCAGCCAGAGTTTGAACCAGAGCCACCACTGGCACAGCCGCAGCCCACCCCAGCATGGCCCTCAAACAGCACTGAGGTGACATGAAAAGAACACGGGGTCTCTGCCCAGCATGTGACTGCAGACACTGGGATAAATACCAAAAGGACGCAGACAGCAGTCCTAGCCCCTGTGGTCTCGGGCCTGCAGGACCCTGCAGTCAGTGCAGGGTCACTGTCCTTCTCTCTGGGACAGGTGGTTGAGATATCCAGCCTGACGGAGCACCTGCTGACAGAGTGCGACAAGAGAGATGGGTTCGGGAAGTGCCACCGCTGCAGCGAGGCTGTCCCCAAAGAAGAGCTGCCCAGACACATCAGAGCCAAGGAGTGCAGCCGTGAGTGTCACCCGGCCACCGGCCATCCTCCCTGGCTGCTGCTGGTCCTCCTGTGATGAGATGCCAAGCAACTAAATCTTTATTAAAATCATTACAGCTGCCAAATCGGAGAAGCTGGCAAACCGATGTCCTTTGTGCCATGAGAATTTCACTCCTGGAGAAGAGGTGAGGGGCCTCAGCTGTCACGGGAACAGGAGGAAGAAGACAGCAAGGGGTGCTGTAGGGTGCAGGGGAGGGTGCTGTAGGGTGCTGAAGGGTGCAGGGGAGGGTGCTGAAGGGTGCTGTAGGGGGCAGGGGAGGGTGCTGTAGGGTGCTAAAGGGTGCAGGGGAGGGTGCTGTAGGGTGCTGTAGGGTGCTGAAGGGTGCAGGGTAGCCTCCTGATCTCCCCTCTGCTGTTCTAGTGGTCTGCTTGGCCTTTGGCCTGCTGGACCATCCGCAGGAGTGGTTTTGCCCTTTCGGTGGTCACTTCATCTGTGGATCCAGCCCTCCCTGGCATTTGGATCAGATGCCATGGCCCATTGGCCCTTTGGACTGGTGGAGCGTGGGCCTGGTGGCTAATGGTTCCTCCTCGATGCCACTCTCTCCTGCCCCAGACATGTGGCATGTGACCCAGGCAGCTCTTTACATGTTCTGCTCCTCCCATGTTAAGGGCAACATGCAGAGCCCGGGTGTCATGGCTCCACCCCTCATTCTGGCTGTCCACACAGCATAGTGGTGGTGCCCTGTGTCAAGTAGCAAAGGGTGGG